GTTAGGCTAATCGGCCTATAGTTTCCTGTCTTCTGTCTCCCTTCACTCTTAAACAGGGGTGTTATATAAGCCATTTTCCAGTACCCATTTCTCAGATCTTTGAGCACAGGAGTTGGGATGTCATGTTGGGGTTGTACAGGATATTAGTGAGGCCTCTTCTGGAGTACTGTGTGCAGTTATGGTCACCTTGTTGTAGGAAGGATATTATTAAACTGGAGAGGGTTCAGAAGGATTTAGCAGGATGTTGCTAGGAGTGGAGGGTTTGAGTTATGAACATAGGGTTCTTCACTAGATTTGTAGCTCAGATTGTGGATGGTGTGGTTGGTTCGCTTACCGAGCTGGTTCGTTAGTTCACAGATGTTTCATTACCCTGCTGGGTAACATCATCAGTGCAGCTGAAGCGCTGTTGTGTTTTCCCTCCTGGTATTTAAACTCTGGGGTCCGTTGGAATTGGTTACCTCATTTCCGGTTTTCCTTCATAGTGGTGTATATATAGGGTCTAATTCTTTGTGTTTAGTGATGGCCTTCTCGGTGGAGAACCAGGCCTCCAGAAATTCCTGTGCTTGTCTCTGTTTGACTTGTCCTAGGATTCTGATGTTGTCCCAATCGAACTGGTGGTTCTCCTTATCCGTGTGAATGGAGATGAGTGAGTATTGGTCATGTCTTTTTGTTGCTAGTGAACGTTGCTAGTATTCATCACCAACTAGCAACAAAAAGACATGACCAGTATTCATTCATCTCCATTCACACGGATAAGGAGAACCACCAGTTCGATTGGGACAACATCAGAATCCTAGGACAGGCCAAACAGAGACAAGCACAGGAATTTCTGGAGGCCTGGTTCTCCACCGAGAAGGCCATCACTAAACACAAAGAATTACACTCTATATATACACCACTATGAAGGAAAACCGGAAATGAGGTAACCAATTCCAACGGACCCCAGAGTTTAAATACCAGGCGAGAAAACATAACAGCGCTTCATCGAAGGCTGCACTGATGACGTTACCCAGCAGGGTAATGAAACGGCTGCAAACTAACGAACCAGCTCGGCAAGCCAACCAACCACAGTTATGAACATAGGCTGGATAGGCTGGAACCTTTTTCACTGGAGCCTAGGAGGTTGAGAGGTGACCTTATAGGGGCTTATAAAATTATGAGGGGCATAGATAAGGTGAATAACAAAGGTCTTTTCTCTAAGATGGAGTTCAAAACAGGGGGGCATAGTTTTAAGGTGAGAGGAGAAAGATTTAAAAGGACATAAGGGATAACGTTTTTACACAGAGGGTGGTTCATGCATGGAATGAACTGCCATAGAAAGTTGTGTTTGCAGGCAGTTACGTTTAAAAAACATTTGGATAAGTACATGAAATGGAAAGGTTTGGAGGGATATGGGCCAAATACAGGCAGGCAGGATTAGTTTAGTTTGGGAGCATAGTCAGCGTGGACTGTTTGGACCAAAGGGCCCATTTCCATGCTGTATGACTTTATGACTCTCTGACTCTAAATAGGTCAAATGGACTTGAAATGTTAATTCTATTTCTTTCTCCACAGATGCTCAGGATCTGCTGAGTTTCTCCAGCATTCTCTGTATTTGTTCCAGATTTCTAGCATTCACAGTATTTTGGTTTCACTTGATTATTAGATGGATTATTGGAGATGGGATTAAATGATACCTAAATGATCTCATTTACTTCCCAGCATTTGATTCAAGTGGAAAACTAAGCCTTTGAGCAGATTATATGTTTGTCCAAATCACAGAAACCCAAAAAAATTACTTTAAACAGGTGCTATAATTCCGTTAAAGATTTAATCTTAATTTTAGTTCAATTACTGGCAGCAATCTGTGTTGAATCATTTCATGTCTATGGAACATCATCAGTTCAGCGAGAGTGTGGCCAATTCTTGGGGTCAAGGAAATCAGTCTTACAGAAATCCCTGCCTTTACCATGAATGGAGCTATAAAAATAACCTTATTGTTATAACAAAGTAATAAACAATGAAATTAACACACAGTACTGAGTCAATGGCCTCATCAACAGAAGAAATACACTTTTATTACTTTGAGGCTCTTGTTTTCTCGTGCACTGACCTCAGGAAACTGTCAATGTGGTTGATGCAAGAATATTACCCAACGTATTCGCAATTTCAAGTGATTTATGCCCATTTAATTTTATTTCTTAGCTCACGTGTACAAAGACCTGATCTACAAAGGAGGATGAGTGATCTTTCCTTTTTTTCATGAGATGTATATAAATAGGAAGGGTTTAGAGGGATATGGGCCAAATGCTGACAGATGGGATTAGGTTAGATTGGGGCGTCTGGCTGGCGCCAATGAATTGGACCGAAGGGTCTGTTTCCTTGTTGTATGACTCTATGACAGTAAATTGTTAATCCCAACATTTGTTATCTATCGCAAAATGCTTTTGAACTGAATGGATTGCTTGACCCACCTGACTGTGGATTTTGTATCATATGTAGGCTAGACTGGGTTAGGATGATCAATTTCCTTCCTTTCCTACAGGACATTAGTAAACCAGATGGATTTTTATGGTTACCATTACTGAGAATTTCAGTTCCACCAGCTACTGTTGCATAATAGTGTAAACGTCTGAAAGGGTTACTACTGAGAATGTCTTTAACACAACCCACACTGATGACATCATGAGAATTGATGGGATAAAAGCATAGGACCTCAAAGGAGTAGAATATGCCTTTAGGGTCTTCCACGTTGCCTTAATAATGATGTTCATGATATTAGTGTAACTTGTACAAATTTGCTATCATGTAGTAAACTTCATCTTGTTTCAGACAAGCATCTTTTGCTTGTTAGTCTACCTATTGGTTTTCCTCTACCATACTAAATTGAGGGTAGATCTCTACCCTGAAAGAGCACAGAAGCAACAAATCTACCAGAGAACTCATACATGAGGTTTCATTTTACAGTGGCCACCATGTTGGGATTTGAACCACAGAGCATGAACCTTGACCTCTGGATTAATAGTCAGTTGCATTTCCCCAGGGATCTTCAGCGGAATGCTTCATTTACTGCCTTCTGATGTCAAAGGAACTAAGGGTTAGAGCACATGATATAACCAGAAAGACAAATTATAACGAAAAAAGTTCTATTCACACCCTAGACTTACTGTAAATTACCAAGATATTGTTCAAATAAGTTATTCTTTGGTCCATTGAAGACTCACCACTTGGAATGGTCTAAAAAGCTGAATCTCTGAGAAGGCATCCAAACATTTCAAAATGTAAAAACTCATAATTGTTTTCAGCCTGTGAAGGATAAAATTTCTTCAAACTGTGAAACAGTTATTGTTTCATGTTTGATTCATTCCAGACCAATCATAATGGCTTCGTCTAGTCCATTCAATCTGCCATTGTTGTCTCTCAAAGACTTTCTCATTCTACCTCCCAAAAACGCATTCACTGGATATTGCTTACAATTCTATCATTCTTCTTCAGTTCTCTGCTCAAAGACAGGTCTGATCCACAGTATTACAATCTCCACCATGGGGTTATGGCACAAAGATAGGTCCCACACCCACTGCAGCTATAAAAGGGTTTGTACTCCATGCTGATGAGAATTTTAAAATTGAGGCATTATCACCTAACTAGGAGCCAGCATAGGCTAATGAGCATAGGGGTGACATTTAAAGTTGAGCTTTGAAAAACCCCAGGTTTGTGGAGAGTAAAGCAAGAGAAGACCAAAGAGGGATGTAATGGAAAGGGATAGAAGTAATGAAAAACAAGATTGAGCAAGAAAAGGAATGTAAAAGAAAGAGTTAGTTGGCACAGTGAAGAATGAAGTAAGTGGCCAGAGAATGTAGCAGCACTTAAAAAAACACGGGTTCAGTCTTCCCAATATCCAGGAATAGCATGAGAAAAACCCGTATGGAAGAGAGTCTTGGGAATCCACGAGGCCAAAATCACTTCTTTCTTTACAAGGATGCTACACTTCAACCTCACACAAATCCAAAAATCCAAGAGTACACGCCTAAACATTGCCAGAAAAAAATGACAAATTAGAAATTTCCACACATTGTGCTAGGTTTCTGAGATCCTTCAAAGCTCAGCAATTTTACGCAAATGTAACGGAGTCAGACAGATCAATGCATCTCAGACCCACTTGCCAGCTTACAATAGTGAGTGACATTGCAAGGTGATTTCAGACAGTACAGCCTTTGGAGGCTTTCATTACCCTTACCTGTTGTCTAAAATATAGAATTACCTTTAAAGTGTGTGTTTGCAAGTGTGTGGACAATAAGCAAGGACATGGTTTAATGACTGACTAACACTTGAGACAAGATACTGGAGAATTACCATTACCGATTGATCTTCACCTCAAGATCTTCAGATATTGATAGTGTGTAGCTAAGCTAGGTGGGCCAAGAGGCTCTAGGTTTGACACTTGTTCCCTGCTAAGTTCAATTACCTCAGTCTGAGGTGCTTGCAGAAATAGTTTATTGAATCAGGAAACTAAATATCAATGTATTGTTCCTGCTGGTGATCATCATCCAAAATTATAAAGGGTATCTACAGTTTTGGCAAGAGATCAGGCAAATCTTGAATGCATAAAAAAGTTCAGTTGAATGGTCTCCTCTGTAGCACATATCATCTTTGATTCCAAAGAATGAGTGACTCATGTTTTAAGTGTTCAGCTTCACCAGGGCTATGATGAAGGACCATACCCAAGTGGTTTCTTTTTCTGCCTATCTTTTAGTGGGATGGACCTGCTGTGCACTTACAACATTTTCTTTTTTTTTCTTCTTTCAAAGATAGAGTAGTTTGTGTTTAGTACAGTCGGCATCGAGAACATTGACATCTATGTCAATGACATTTTCTGTACATTATACATTTTATGACATAAAACTCATATCATTGCCTCATAATACTACACACAGCAATATAAAAACCTGGTTAATAAATCATTAAGGTGTGACTGTTCCATATGTATAAATATCAGACTGTCTTGTCGCTATATTCACTGGCTTCCCATTTTCAAACTCATTTTGTGCTTGATTCCAGCTAGGTCATTATGGCTTTCAGTGGCAAGTATGAAGTTGCAAGTCAGGAAAACTATGAAGAGTTTATGAATGTCCTGAGTAAGTTATACTACTTAATGATAATAGTTTGGTTCAAATAATTTTTTGATAAATGATATTGCTAGTTGGTCAGTTCAACAGTTTAAATATACAAAGGATGTCCCAATAGGTTTGTTGAATCAGACATCTCTTTAAAGTGTCTTAGGATGTGAGTTTAAAAGCAGCTTTGTAATGGGAGTATATGCAAGAATGTAAATGATGATTTGATGCTAACAGTAATGTTACTGGATGTGACAATGAATATGTGATGCAGTAATTTAGTACTGGAGCAAACGTGTGACCCGGAGATTGCTAGGGGGTGTTATTTTTCTTTGAAAAGCACTGTCATATAGTTTGGTGTTCATCTGGCAGAAAGGTGACAAAATTAATTTATCACTCAATTTGTTACATATCACTGTCATTTCACCAGTGTTCTCAGATCAGGTTCATTGTTTGATTCAACAGAATAATTTTATTTCAGTAGAGACTGTAAATAAAATCTACAGAATGAAGGCATTAGGTATTTACATTTTCAGAATCAGACAAAACTTGAGGTTTTACCATGATTAGTCATCAGGATAAAATCTTGTCTTAGACATCTCCTTCACTGAATGCAAAGCCTGAAGATTTCCTGTCTTTCCTCAGACCTGACATTATAGGAAATAGCCTTGTGGTTTTTATCTGCAGTATCTTCAAAAGGTGAATCTTTCCCTGGTTTCCAGTACCCAACATGGAGTCTGACAAGAACTCTGCACAATTTGATCATAGCTCCCTCGCATTTCTATTGTTTCAGCTACTGTGGTTCAACAGTTTATTAGGTTTGTGTTGACTGCTTCTCTGCATTGGTTATAGATGTTCAGTCAATTAAGCCTTCCAGATCTTTTTCAGGGGTTCATCTTCAACCATTCCACCATCATTCTTAGAGATAGTTTGTCACTCATCATGCTACCTTATGTGAAGCATCTTGAACTTAACTGAATTAAGATTCATCTATTGTTTGGACATCTTGTGTTGCTCCACTCATTTGCAAATGTACCGAATTTGCATTGAGTTTCCAAATTCAGTTCAACAGCGTAAAACAGAGTGAGTGCTAAACCTGAAGAAATCAGAGGCAATATTTTCCCTCTCCCAGACATTCCTCATCTAAGCTATATCCATTGTTTTCTTAATAAGAATTCACCCCCTCTTTTCTTGATCCTTACATTACGTCAAGTGTTTGTTCATTTGTTACAAAACAGAAGGCACGAACTTAATAAAGATACAGAACAACAGCTTAGAAGTATTGGGTATTTGAACAACTCAAAGAAGCAACAATATTTTGCAATTGGAAAAGACATGGTCAGATTTGGAAAAGTTGGAGGTCAGCACAAACTTGTTATGTTGGTTCTTTACCCCCAGAGTATTCTGCTGATGTCATTGAAAAGGGAAGAAATGCCAAGGTTATTACAGAAGTGACTCAAAATGGAAATAATTTTACCTGGACCCAAATTTATCCAGGAGGTAAAACCATGAAGAATGCATTTGTGATAGACCAGGAATCAGAGATGGAAACTATGGATGGCAAGAAATTCAAGGTGAGCTTGGAAAATGTGATACATGGATAACATTGAGCTTGTTTCATTAATTGCACACTCAGACAGTATGAGCAAGCAAAGCATTGAGAAACAGTCTTTTTAAAAATTATGATCACACCCAACATCAACCACCTGGGATAAGTGGGCTCAAGTGTTTGGATTTCTAACCCCCCTCTGCTTGAATCCATGGCTTATAAATTTATGAATATATGGTTTATTATGAATAAGCTGACCTGAAATATGGGGTGGGAGGAGGGAGAAACTAAAAATTTGTCCCCAGCCAAAGGGGAGCTCCTCTTGGTAACCTGCATGCTTGACTATCACGAGGTTGTATTGAGTACCGCTGTGACTGAATATAATCTTCCACCCCGTCTTGGCTCATCCACTTGGATAAGGTATCAGAGGTTGTGGGCAGTACCAGTAAAACAACTCCTCAATATAATTCACCAGTCTACAGGAAGGGAAGAGATGCATGGTTTTAGATCTAATATTTATTGTTTGAGGGCTGCTTTATAACTTAAGTTTGTCCTTGAATTGTTACAAGATGGATTGTTTTCTTCATTGCTGCCTTGGAATGCACTTTTCTAAATCCATAGCAAACAACATTCTGTACCTCTCATCTCAAGACAGCATTTTTGTAGCTCATGACTTGAGCGTGCAGTTTAATTGATCTAAATAAACCGAGATGGTGTCATTTTGTGTTGAGATTGAATGTCAAAATCACGAATGCTCGGCTCAGTGCTGAATCCAGTGTTTTTGTAATTTAGGCTACAGTCAAAATGGAAGGGAATAAGATAGTTTGTGACTTTCCAAACTATCACCATACTTCAGAGATTGAAGGAGGAAATCTTGTTGAGGTGAGTGACTTTTCAATTAAAAAATAAATGATATACCATCTGAAAAATGATCATTTTCTAATTTTCTTTTTCATTTCTTTTTGACAGACCTCTACATGTGCTGGTGTCACTTATAAGAGAATTAGTAAGAAGATTGCTTAAGACAGTAAACTTGAGTTACTGCTCTGGAATTTAAAAATGTATCATACATTTTAAACTAACCTTTTTGTAATAAAGGGATAACACTTTGTTAATAAAAACCATCAACAGGATACAAAATACTTTCATTAAATACCACATGACCAATTATATTTCCGTTCAGCAGTTTGTGCTTTCTGCTGTTCTTTCCCAATGCCTCAGTTTAATCATTGTTCTGCACACACAAGCTGTTGGCACAAGGGTGTCATCTTGGAACAGTTGCAACTGGTTGAATGCTATCTGCTGGATTGTGTAAGGCGGACTCCTAAGTGCTCTTCAGGAACCCTCTGCGAGTGATAGTTAAGATTTCCAGTGGGTTTTCCGCTCACACATTTTGTTGACAGGAGTGTAAAATAAAAGAGGAGCAAATGGCTGTTGCTGTTCTGACAAAAATCTCAAAATCTCTGACTGGCTTCAAAATGCAATAACCTTATGTTACCCTCAACCTGGGCATGTGGCCACTTTCTAAAAATCTTAGATGGCTCCATCTGAAACCCTTTCCTTACGTTGTACTGATTGCTTTTAACCTTTTCAAAGTGTCCTTAGTTAAAAGTTTAAGATTATGCATACATGGGTCCAGTCAATATTATGAATTAATATTTGGATTGCACCATAAAATGGTGTCTCAAAAACATTTTTTTACATTTACAACTTGCAACTTAAGTGTATAAGATATTTATTAGCTGGAATATCATGGATAGTGTGGCACCACATTATAGGAAATATGTGAATGCATTGGAAAGAGCGCATAAGTGATTTACAAGAATGGTTCCATTAAGAGAAACTTTTGTTACAAGGAGAGATTGAAGAAGTTGGGACTGTTCTCCTTGGAGAGAAGGCTAAGAAGACATTAGATAGAGGTTTCTAAAATCATGAACGGGCTGGATAGAGTAGATAAGGAGAAGCTGTTTCCACCCATAAAAGAAAAAAGAACGAGAGGACATACCACAGATTTAAAGTGATATGCAAATTAACTGAGTACTATACACAGCGAGTAGTTAGGGTGTGGAATGCACTGCCTAGAAATATGGTGGAGGCAAATTCAATTGAACCATTCAAAGGCATTGAATAATTTTGGATAGAAATAGAGTTCAAGGATATAGGGAAAAGGAAGGATATTGGTACTAAGTAATAGAACCAATGCAGGCACGATGAGCCAAATTACCTCATTTAGCATGTAACAATTCTGTGATTCTGTGAAATCTCGGGTTACTTGTATATGAAAGCATGGAAAAAAGTAGTTCATCTCCAAATAACAAGCAATTTTCATTTAATTATGAGATTTAAGTTATGTAACATTTAAAGCTTCAACAGTAATAGCATTTGTGTAGTTTGTAGCATTGTACGAGAGTACAAAATAGCTCCCCTTCAGGATTCATTAGCATATAACAACTTTCCTTCATTCATTCATTGCCACACTGTTGGAAGTCTGCATGACAGAATATTAATTTTGATAATATGAAATTACACTTGATCAGGTGCCACTTCAAAGGTTATTGTAGAAAGTAAGAGCTCATGGTGTTTGGGGTAACATATTAGCATGGTTAGAAGATTGACTAGCTTCCAGGAAGCAGGCTGGGAGGTTGTCATGAGTGTGCGTCACAGGGATCGGTGCTAGGGCCTCAACACTTTGCAATTTAGATAAATGATTTGGATGAAGAGACCAAAATTATGGTACCCGAATTGGTGATAACACAAAGACAGGTAGGAAGGGAGGCACAGTGGTTGACACTGCTGCTTCACAGTGCCAGGGCCCGGGGTTCGATTCCACCCTCTGGCGACTGTCTGTGTGGAGTTTGCACATTCTCTCCATGTCTGCGTGGGTCCCCTCTGGGAGCTCTGGTTTCCTCCCATAGTCCAAAGATGTGCAGGCTAGATGGATTGGCCATGCTAAAATTGCCCATAGAGTCCAGGGATGTTTAGGTTAGGTGGGTTAGACATGGGGAAATGCAGGGGTAGGGGACTGAGTCAGGGTGGGATGCTCTTCGGAGGGGTTGTGTGGGACTTGTTGGGCCGAATGGCCTGTTTCCACAGTGTAGGGATTCTATGACCCTAAGAAAGTGAGTTGTTAAGAGGGTATTAGGAGTTTACAAAGGGACATAGCTAGGTTAAGTGAGTGGGAAAAGAGCTGGCACATGGAGTACAATCTGGGATTTTGGCAGAAAGAATTAAAAAAAAAACATATTATCTAGATGGTGAGAGATTGCAGAGCTCGCAAATGCAAGGAATCTAGTTGTCCCAGTGTATGAATTGCAGAAGGTTAATATGCAGATCCAGCAAGTAATCATGAAAGTAACAGAATGTTATGTTTTAATTTGAGGGAAATTGAATGCAACAGTAGGCAGGTTACAATTCAGTTAAACAGGGCATTGGTGACATTGCCTCTGGAGTATTGAGTACAATACTGGTCATCGTATTTATGGAAGGATGTTAATGCATTGGAAGCTGTTCAAAGAAGGATTACTACACTAAGGCTTGGAATAAGCAGAATGCCTTATAACGAAAGTCCAGACAGGCTAGCCCTCTATCCTCTTGAGTTCATAGGAATCAGAGGTGACTCAATTGAAACATAAAAGATCCTGAGGGGACTTGACCAAGTGAATGTCAAGAGCATGTTTCATCTTGTGGAAGAATTTAGAACCAGGGTCAAAGTTTAAAAATAAAGGGATCACACATTCAAGGCAAAATGAGGAAACTATTTTTCTCCCAGGGGACTGAGATTCTTTGGAATTCCGTTCCTCAAAAGGCAGTGGACGCAGAATTTCAAATAGGCTTGGGTACATAGATTCTTGATTACCAAGAGGGTGAATGATTACAGGGAATATGTAGGAATGTAGGAATGAGTTTAAAATCAGATCAATTCTTATTGAATTGTGGTGCAGGCTTAAAGGGCCTAACCATGTTCCTGTTTAATATGTTCATAATATGTCTCCAGTTTTGCAATCAGTGGTAAAGCACAGTTGCTCGACACTGTCCTGGAGGAAAGCTTTCCACAAAGATGTAGCAGATTCTGTGCACGGTTTTCCCTTACCCAACGGTAGTTTAAATCCAATGCAAAGTCAAGAGGAGGGGTGCTGTATGGACATGCAGAAGCAGTGACATCAGCAAGTATTTTAAACAGCTGACCACCCAGCAAACAAGGAAATTAAAACTATTTAAAATCCTTCATTTCAAATTTAAATGTTTAAATAATGATTATGAATAGATTAAGATAGAAATAAGATAGAAGATAAAATAAATATTAAACATTTTTAAAATTCTATGCTTTAATTTTTTTATCATTATGGAGAAAATTGACATTTCACAAGTATAAAATTAGCTTCTTTGAGCTAGTGAGGATGTTCAGCATTAATCACATAGTATTCCATTAAAAATGCAATAACAGCTCACTCAAAAAGCATGATTTTCCAAGGATTTTATAGTGAGACTAAAAGCATGAGAGCAAATGTGTTTATCAATTCAATTGATTTCCATTGGTTAGTCTGTGGGGTTGGTGTGGACAAATAATTCAGGCACTTGTTGTGAAGGAGTGCAATATTGCTGGTGGTAACTTCTGAATGTCTACATTATTGGCCCATGCCTCCCACATGACTGTCGAATCCTTTGTATATCAAAACTCAGTCTGCTTCGGATTTAAACATTCAGTGACTCCATCTTCATTGCTCTCTGTGTAGAGAATTCCAAGGATTAATGACCCTCAGACAGGAAGCTTCTCCTCATCACTGCCTTTAAAAGGGGGCCCCTTATTTTGAAACTGCTCTCTAGGTTGAGATCCTCCTCTCAGCATCCACCCTGTCTAACCCCCAATGAATTTTTTTGCTTCAATAAGATTGCCTCATTCTTCTGGATCTCTAAGAATATAGGCCCAACTAGATCCCTTTCATCCAAGGAATCAACCAAATGTACCTTCTCTGAACTGCCTCCAATGCAAAACTATACCTGCTTAAATAAGGAAAACAAAACCTTTATGCAGTACCCTAGGTGTACTCGCATCAATGCTCTGTATGGTTGCATCAAAATTTACCTTCCTTTATATCTGGAACCCCTTTGCAACAAATGTCAATATTCCATTTGCCTGCTCAATCACTTCTGCCACTGAAGATGAACAGATGTAATATTTTCATCCTTGACTATTTTCAAACAGTACATCACAAAACAAAACTGACGTTTCGATTTCAAATAAACTTGGTACTCTGTTAGATATGGAAAAACTGATTAGTGTCTGGTGAAGATCTGAACCAGATCCTGCTGTTTTTTAAAAGATCCATTAATACTGTAATATGGAAACTCCTAAAAACTGCTTCATCCACGTATTTATAGACCATCAAGCAGGGAATAGACTCAAGGTACAGTGGGATGAAGAAACCTAATCTATCAATATCACTTTGCAGACATTTTGCGTGTTCCTCACAAACTGCATTCATACCTATTTTTAAAATCAGCATTATTTGGCTAAAGGACATGCTCTCCAATAAATTCATCAATATAGATTGCAAATAGTTGAAGCGCCAGCCCTGACTGCTGTTAGCTACAGTTCACCATTCTGAAAATGACCCATTTAGCCTAACTCTATTTCCTGATAGTAAACTACCCACACTAATACTAACATCAACACCATTAAACCTTATCTTGCATAATAAACCTGTTGAATGCTTTTTGGAAATTTAAATACAGCTGGTTCAATATGGAGAAAAAGCAGAGTTAATATTTTGGTCAGTGACACATCCTCAGAACTCAACTGTTCTGAAGGTGAGTTACTGGACCCAAAACCTTAACTCTGCATTTTCCTCCAAAGATTCTGCCAGATCTGCTGCACATTTCCAGAAATTTCTGTTTTTGTCTCAAGATTTATAGCATCCCCAGTTCTTTGGTTTTAAATTAAATGTCCACTCCTAGTTGCCTGAGGGAAGTGATGAGGAGCCATCTTCTTGATGCCTTGCAGCCCATGTGGTCCACACCATTATTTAGGAGAGTTTCAGGACTTTGATCAAATGACAATAAAGGGACTGCCATATGATTCCAGGCTAGTGAGTAACTTTCAAGGTATATTGCAGGTGGGTGTTTTCATCCATTTACTGCTATTTTCTTCAAAGTGGTAGAGGTGATGAGTTTGGAAGATGGGACTAAGAGATTCTAGAGTTCATGCTACGCTTTGCTATACTTGGTCAAGTTCAACATAATGACTGAATGCAATAGATCAATACTGATTTGGAGAAGAGAGAACAAAGCTAGAAAAGAACAGAAGCAATCAATTGGTTGTGCCCAGGATCGACACTATTTATGAGACTATAGAGACAGATTTGAATGTAAATATGAAATGGGAAAACAGGAATTAATAGACTGGCATTTATTTTAAAAAGTACACAGGTTTTTACATCAGTCACATTTGTTTAAACTTCAAATAGCCAGATCTAAGATTTATTTAAATAAAATTGCTAGCAAAATTAGTGTTTCAGCAGGTATTTGACTCTTGCCTTACATTTGAAAGTACATGGATATTTGGCATACTGTGCCGTTAAAGAGGTCCCTCTAAAACAGTACATCTCTGGACAGGAATAAAATGAACTAACTTTGTATAACAGATTGGAACTACAGTAATATTTTTGGTCACTAGTTATTCCACTTGGTTTCTCATGGTTTGACAGCATTGTCACATTTGCAACTTGTTTCACAATTCCTTCATATATTCACTAGAATGCATCTGACATTATCCTGTCTTGTTTAGTACAAAGTATATTCCCCTACTTCTATTCAGTAAAGTAGTTACTGGTTGCAATATCTAATTAATAGGATGTATACGCACCAACACATATAATACATTCTCAACTGCGTGCTCAGTCATCTCAAAGTCTCAAAACAATGCCTGTATTTGAAAGACTGTGTCTCATTCCACCAGTCTGGTAAATCTTGTGCATTAGATTCCAATCTCCTAAAATACCAGCCACACTATGTGTCTTTTATCAAACTCCCCCCACTACTTTCATTCAATGCACTTTTAAGAAAACCAATTCATGACTTATCATAAGATGAAAGTTCAATTTAAAAATGGCTGTAAGCCTTAAAAGTAATTAGGCATTCATTTCTTAAGTTTGTATAAGTAAACCTTTGATGCTACCTGAACAACAATTTATACTTACAAAATGTTAAAAATTAAAGATTTAGATGCAGAAGGCACTTTTAAATACACTGTCCCATACTGTGTGAAATGTCTCTGGGGTAGTCATTCCTCAATAGACCTGCCTTCTAATGAAATTGTTTAGTTAAATTAAACAACTTTTAAAAAATAAGCAGACCAAGACCTTCAGGCAGATTGAGATCAGAATTTGATCAGAGGCTAAAAATGACCTGCTGGAGAATTCATCCCAATGTATTACAAGTTTCTTTTTAAAAATAAATAATTTCTCAACAGTTGAATTTTTGGACACATTAAACCTACCTCTTTTTTTTTAAAAAGAAAAAAGTACAAGCTGCTGGGTCAGCAGACATTTGGTGTCAAATGCAGTGATGTCATAACATGACAGCATGCTGAATAAATACCAGCTGCCTTGAAAAATCTTGTCAGTCAATGCCCTGGAAACAAAAATCAGAGCCTGCCCTCTGGCTACTCCCAGTCACATGGATAGCATTGATCAGCCCCATACAGACAGCAGTTCAATCAACTGCTGTGTGGTTTTGATGATAACTGATCTAAAAATTGATTAATCTGTGCAACCCAAGGGTGAATGCATAGCTGCTTCATCATTGGCAACAGTATTGTTCATATTCCATACTGGAGTAACTTAATTGGGAGTGGAACTTTTTAGTTTGATTGACACTGAAGCACGTACATTAACAGTGGTTTTTAACTAAAACTCCAAGTCATTAAACTATTCATCATATTTGTCTTTTTGCATTCACCTCCAAATTGTCCCCAAAAGACTATGAAGCATACATGAAAGTAACTGTTGCTGAAATGGATTAGGACTATAGTTAGCTAGAACATGCCTTAACATCACACAGAAATGAAACAAAATTCATTATATCTAACTAAACCATCCTTGCACTAAGTCACTCTCCCCATGAGCCTAAAACTTCCACTACACTACAAACAGAAAAAGCTAAAATGGTGAAGCTCTTAAACAAGTCTTCCATTCCTGTAATGTTTTTGTAAAATCCAAAATAAACCTAGCCTTTCAGCTACAGGTTCAGAATTGTAACTAGACATCCTTGCATGCAAATCACAAAAAGGGCCTGACTCATTTTTTCCTCTCTCCATTACAGGAAATGTTGAACCCTGGTGCTTTGCCCAAGGGTCATTCTTCATGTACGTACCTGGACAGATGTTAGTGGGCAATTCAGAGAAATTATCGTAGCCAAATACAACTCCATCCAAGCATATATAATCTTGCAGTAGATAATGGGAAAGTGAGAAAGAATGAGAGATTAGATGAATTCCCTTTCTACAAATTCAGAATTCCCAGCTCATTTGTGGTAACTTTCTTGTCTGTGTCCCCACAAGGGATTGATGAGGCTAAGTAACAAGTTGCTTCGATTAGCAGTTTTAGCTTAAATATGAAGTCTTAAAAATTCAAAGTTAATTACACTGAAAATGAAAGCTACATGCTGTCAAGATTTTAATGATGGTTACAAATTGTTACTTTTTTAGATCTGAATTTTATAGTTTCAAATATGTTTGCATGAATTTACTTTGTTAGTTTCAAATATAGCCTACACAAATAAACTTAACAAAGAACCAAAATATTAAGCATTTTACAGAAAGCAGTTAAGCCTCTTTGGATCCCTCTGTTTCAGATTTTAAAAAAAATCAAAATGTAAATAAGGTCTGCTGTGCTCTTAATACTGCTCATTGTCATCTTCAATACTGTAAAGGTGAAACTTAGGTCATATGTAAGGAGAACCCAAGTATCCTGAGGTAATTGCCTTGTATTTAAGCTGATCAACAAAAGCAGCAAGAGGTATTTATCATTTTCTCCCTTCTGTCAAATCTCAAGAGGCCTTAATGAGCTTGTAATCATTGAGGAATTTTCCCTTGCTTTTGCACACAGGACTTTCGCCTAGTTTGGTTTGGTTGTGCCAGCTTCTTGGATTCACTATTGATAGAACCAAGCAGAGTTCTTTTGTTACATTACTAAGCAGCCAGTGTTGAATCTAAAATAAGGTTTAAATATCAGTTCTAAGTTACTAAACTATCCCCTAAACAGCTGTTTCTAAACTTAGAATTTTCAGTAGGTTACCTCTGCTGAACAGCAGTGATATTTCTTGAACCAGTGAGTGCATCTCTCATACCACGTGCCCTCCATCTTGAAATGAAAAAGTATAATTCACAATTGCAACAGGCAATCATTATGTTGGATGGTTAGTTACTACTGTGAACAACAGCAGTCTTAACATAAAAAGTCAATTGCTGCAACATTGCCTTGCCAATTATGCGATTGAAACGGGAATACAGTGCCATAAACAGTTTAAAGTGAAGGTACAGCTAAGACACAAACCATATTGCACTCTGAAATGTCTCTCAATACTCCCTGGGTTAAAACACCAGAAACTCACAGGCAGCCTGTGTTACAATTAACACAAGTGGGGCTAACAGCATTGCCTTCAAGTAACAAAAAGTGCCCCCATAGCTTTCAAGTAAACAATATAAAAATATCACAGTAATAACAGCCCTTTAAGTGAGTTAAGGCAGCAGCTTTAAAATTCTCTACAAAAAAGTATCGTTTGCTTATCCAAATCTATCAAAATATTTTCATATGGCTTCCTGACATCCCATTGGACTATTTAGTCTCAAAAATGTTCACACAGAATACCAACACTGAGGCATTCTCAGTTGAAAATAATTAGCATATTTCCAGAAAAATTGTAACAAGGAAAGCTGCACGGTAAATGCATGTTTTGCATATCCAAAATAAAAAGTTAACTCCGTCTAGCAAATTGTATATCTCCTGTCAGAGAGTTTCAAACACTGAAAGTAGATGGTATTTACCAACTCGGGAAGATAGCAGAAAACGCGTTATTAGAATTACTGTCATCTGTCAAAACAGCCAGTTGAGTATGTGTGATGTCCACTTAAAAAATTACTCCCATAGGCCACGGTGATGCAGTGTCTTGGCTCCGTAGTTATGGCAACCTGCATAGCAATGGGTCCCTGAACAGGCAGAGCCCTTACTGTGGACTGTAGGTTGGCTTGGAAACCCGGGTATGACTGTAGTGTATAACTGTTGCTGGTACTTCCTGAGACAATGGCAGCTCGACGACCCTGCACGTGGCTCCTATGGCTCTGAACTGAAGCCTGAGATTGCAATGGCGAATGGAACTGCACAAGCTGTGATGAGTTCTGGGCGAAATGTTGATATTGACCCTGCTGGAACAAGAGCTGCTGTGAGGACTGGTGTTGATGTTGCTGTTGCACTGTTGTTTGCTGCTGTAGACTTGGCTGTTGTCCTTTGGTTTTGTTGGCTTCTTTGACATCATTATCATGGGCACTAAATATAAAAGACACCTCACATCAGATACTTTCAACGAATGTTCTCCAAGTTCCACCACCTGTCACAAAGACACCCACAATAATGCTGAGTTTCATTTAAACCTGTGTTAAAGTAGCCTGAAATGCGAAGGCTTTTGCTAGTTTAATAAAAGCAAAATACTGTAGATGCTGGAAACCTGAAACAAACACAGAGAATGCTGCAGAAACTTAGCAAGTGTGATAGCATTTGTGGAGAGAAACAGACTTAATTTTTCAAGCCCTTCTTCAGAACCCTGACTCAAGTCAACAGACAGAAAATGGAAACAGGAGCCTTGGGCAGCCTCTTGTTTCACTGGTCCACAGTCCTGTGCCAAGTGTACTACTGTCCAAGTTAAAGAGCAAAAAGAGAGCAGGGATCCAACTTGGGACCTTCATGGTGTGTACGGCCCAGTTTTATTCTGGGTTAATGAATTTGGGAGATAGGTATCAAATTTCATCAAAATGAATGTTGGAACTTCAAACGTACTAATTGGTTTCACAGATTCAGCCTATTTCCCATGTAATTTGTCATACCAAAGAATGGGAAGAAATGGTGGCAAAAACAGGAAGTGGCTGAATTTGAACTGGATCCCAGAACCTAAATATTCAGAAGAGCTGCCAGGGGAACAGGAAGGTGGTGGTGGACAAAGGAGGAGGGCAAGGATGACAAAGGGGAGGGGTGGGGCTAGCGAGAGAGGTGTGCAAGAGAAAACAATGGCAACATATAACATTGACATACAGGAAGCAAAGTATCCAAACTAGCAAGACGTAGCATTTGTGGAAAGAGAAACAAGTAAACGTTTGATTCCAAGAGTCATATCAGATTCAAAACATTAACTCTGTTTCTCTTTCTACAGATGCTGCCAGATCAATTAAGCTTTTACAGCATTTTCTGTTTTTATTTCAGATCGCTAGCATCCACAACATTTTGCTTTTATTAAAGAATCTAACTTAATCCAGATATCCTCTTCAGAGTAAACATCAAAGTCAGCATTTGCAGATAAAAGTTGCTTTGCAAATCTTGGCACTAACTACTCATATATAATAACTCCTAAATTGATTCAATCTATACATTATCAGTTATCCAGCATTTGGTGCTGTCATTTAGTACGTGTGTCATACTAAAAAAGCAAATTGGATATGTCCACAATGTTTGATGCTGCACAACAGGAGTAATTTAGTCCTTTAAAATCAAAAGACTGGAACGTCCAGTAGTAGAGCATATATAACTACAGATATTCTCAAGTTCTCCACTATCCAGCAATATAAACAGGATCTTTGCCAATGGTATTTCATTCTCATTAGAATAAAAGAAGTATATCTGGAGGTAGTTGGTACACCCAAATACTAAAACTTCTGCTATCACTTACTTTCGTGGTACATTTATGTGCAAAGATGCTACTTTACAAACCACAAAGATAAGAATGTGGAAAGCCTCTTCGAATAGATCAGATTCCCAAAATGTTCTTTAAATGTAAATACAGTCCCAATCAGAAGACATCAAACATCATCATCTTAACTGAAAATTCATATGGACAAACAGCCTCCCCAAACGGCATGCAATACCTTATTCTCCAGATACCTAAATCTCCAGAAAAACTGGATTGAAAGTGACAATTAATTCAAATGTTTGGGGAAAGGAATGGAATGATCCTGAGAGAAGTGGATTAACACGATCACACAAGTGCAGTCTATAATTAGAAATTTGCATTGAAACTCTAAATGAAATGGGCTTGACATGTTAAACTATTCTCTAGTTCTCAAAATTTTACAATGCCTTGTAATTAAGGGCTTTTTAAAAAAATTCTAGCACTGTTTACAAAATGTGGTCTTTCCAAGACTATGTTGAAGAAAGAGAACAGGAAGAGAACAAGAGATTGAATCCACTACAGTTCTTTACAAATACTGGACAAGGATGAAGAAAGGCTTGTCAGCAGTGTGGGAACTCAATTTGAGGGCAGAAATTGTAACTGCATGGAAAAAACATTGTGCCTTTATTTAAACAACCTCTTTCTTTAAAGTTGTGCAAACAAGAGAAAGTGCATGCATCTTACATCAGCATGAGTTCAACACAAGCAGTCAGGTGCTCCCAAGTATACCCAGTCAGTAGGTGGAGATGAGTGGTCAGGGATGGACTGATGTGTAAACAAATACGGGAAGCTGTTATGCAGGCGGCCGCTACCAGTGATGGACGAAAAGTCAGAAAACTGTGATCTACAACAAAAACAACAACAAATAAGATCAGTCTTAAAAACTGTAACCTATTCCCTTCCAAGCCTTCCCCTTTACCTGATTTTCTGCCAACCAACAGACTCCCAATGTTCCTCTGCCTGCAATTTAAAATTCTTATCCTTAATCTTAAATTGTTTCATCATCTCACACCTCTTCCACTTTTACCACACCCATCCAACACTTCAAATTCGTTATGCAAAATAAAACATTGATCAAATTTTTTGACAAGCTACTAGCAAATTCCATTTCCAGAATTCAAAAGAATGAAAACCAGAAAAAAAGAACGAATTTGCAATTACTTAGAACATGATCGCAAGTTAGATTTATTTTAATATGCTTTACTTTTGAAATAATTCATTGAATCTATAGTGTCCACTCCTGAATCTTATTCCGGTATAATGAATGACTGTCAACTTAATGTGTTTTCTGATGTTGCTGGTTCAGAAAGGAACACTTATAGGCACACTACTCTTTAAACAGCATCCTGAAATTTTTAGTCAAATGGACAGTTCAGATCTGGACACGTTTCATTTCTCACTTACAATAATGCAGCAATCTTTTAATATTGCCTGGGTACTTGCAATCTTCTTCCTATGCTGCTTTCATTTGGTATGTTTATTTATTGGAGACTAATTTATCTTAAACTTTGACATTCACATTACCATATGGCCTGTAAGTCTCCTATCCTCATCATAAGATCTTGTGCAGAATTAAGAGATGTCAGCTAAAGTGGTAACTGTAATATCACAATTGGGCCAATGCCTCTATCCCTTTCGCTGTTCCTGTGGAGGGTGAAAGAGAGAGCACTAACTGAGAAAAGGACTAGACTCAACTGCAATTTTATCCTTTTCAGCTCTGTTTCCATCACACATTATGAGTGATCATTTGGATGAACTACCAGAGGTTAATCAATGCTCATGCAGCTGTATCTATTCCTTAAGATAGCAGAGGGTAAATCTTAAGAAATGTTTGCCACCATGACAGCACAAAATGGAAGTATAATTTCCTGTTCTTGGTTATGCTTCAAATTTTTGGGAAAGGTTGGGAACAGCAAGAAATATTTTCATGCAGAGATAGTAACCAAATGACAGTCCAGCATAAACACAACTGAACATAGCGTTGGTTACATGCCAAGCATACCTTGAAGAGAAACTTCTAAAAAATAGTGGGCATATTTTTCCATGAAGGCTTTGGTTTTGGCGATAGAAGTGAGCGGCCAGCCATTGTGCAGGTCACTCTCGTGGACGGAGCCCGAGAGGTAGTAGTCAATGAAGTGCGCCGCAGTGGGCAAACAGAGGTTCCAGTTGAAAGTCTCCAGCAGCAGCAACTCCATTTGCAGCAAGTCTCGCTTGTTCAGCACCAGATGCAGGCTGCTCATGAAGCCCAGACTGTTCAGCTGTTCCAATTTAGGCACCCGATCTTCTTTCTCTTCAAATTTGCCTGGAAACAGAGCAGCAATAAAATAGAAACATGGTGAATATTTTGCTTTCTAACACTTTTCACCACACAGAAGGGACATTTAGAGCTAGCAACCAGCTCACTTTCAAGTTATCATATTTAAAGCAGTTGAACGAATTTTGGTATCCACGAACTACGAAAAGATTCCCGCCACCTCAGAGATTGCTCATGTCTGAGCTGAAATTTCAAGTCAATTTTATTCAAATACTGTGTTCACACATAATGAATGATTTTAAAGAAAAATAATAAACTTCCTTTCTCATCGAAATGAATTAAACAAAACAAAATGCACTTAAGTCAGACAAAATGAAAATGGCAGAGCAATGGTGTACTTTCATGCCCACAACTTCTCATACTTATGTTTAATAAATTCATTCATCTTATATTGTAGCTTTAACAGAAAGCTGACATTTTAGAATGACAGTGAATTCAGTGAAATTAAACATAGTTTGGCTACTACAATGTATATTTAACAACTGTATGGTCAGCTTTAACATTATCAGTTAACTGGACAGAAAGTTATGCTAAATTGGTGATAACTGAGCAGGAATGTAGAAACATGTAAGTGGAAGTTGAATTCATAACATTTACAATAAACGGAACTAAAAAGAGCTATGCATGTGGATATTTCAACTTCCAGTCTGATGGTATGTTTTGCACACCAGTGCCCGTAATGAAAACAAACACTGATCTGAGCTATTTTTTGTATAGCTCCTAATGGGTGCAGCAAAAGATTTAAAGCAGAGTTGTCCAAAGAAATTGTAGCTTTAAAAATAGTTAATATTTTTAAATGACAGTGAATTCAATGAAATTAAACATAGCTTGGCTACTACCATTTACACGTAATAACTATCTGGTCAGCTTTAGCATTATCAGTTAAGAAAGATATGTTGCAGAGCTTCCAACAAAATGGAACAAGGCAAGCAGACTTGTGTTTGGTAACAAAGCAAAGATGCCCAGTAAAACAAATTCAGAGAAAAGTAAGTAAAGCTAGTTCTGACTCTAGTCCCTAATTAATTTCCACTTTACATTGACTTAAGATCAATAGGCTAATAGTCACTAAACATACAAGACAGGAGAATAAACTCCCAAAAACTTATCTAGACTTACAAAAAAATCTTTGTAACCTTGCTTTGTTTGCCATTTTTCCTAAATTTGACCCCTGTGTTTTCTGTTCTCCAGCACTCTCCATCTCAACAACTTCATGATTCACATTCATTCATAACTGTTGCCGTGTAACAGATGTTGCCCTGCTATGGCTTGCTATATATAATATTGAATTGTACACTTGAATGCAGGCCACGATTTATTTGTAATTTATTAAAATTGAACTTTCATACATCATACCCGTAAGAAGAACAGTTGCCGTAATTGTATTACACATCAATAGCCTTAGCTCTGCATTTCTCCCTTCAAGTGTTTCTGACAAGATTCATTTTGAATGCCATGCATTCTTGAAAGCGCTCCACTAAAATATTCAGAGTAATAAAAGTATCCCTCTTACTCGTGAGTCAAGGCTAACTGGCAGTGAACCAGATGGCACTTCTGAACATTTTGCAGCAGCTTTAACAAAATAACAACTCTATGTTGATTCTTTTTGAGCTGCTTGACCTTGGAAAGGTTTCCTGATACATACACTCCTCTGAAGGCTAGAAGGAAAGACAGCAGGATGAGATTATAGCATTATTTAAATTTAATAAACGGTTTTCCTTGTGAAGATACACAAACCATAAATATGTTCCTGGAGTGCAGTTCATACAACTCACTTAAGAAATTCAAGCCAGTGCCATGAAATCCAGGATTGGGCAACATGGAGATGGCACAAAAAGGTATGATTCTCAGGAATTTACCCAATAACCCAGTTGATTATGAGAGTCAGCAGCTGACCCAGAGAAACCAATGGGTCCTCAGTTTATTCTTCTCATCAAGAAGGGCAGTACGTGCATTATAATTGGCTTTGGTGAGAGAACAGGCGGAGAAAAAATGATTTCCTTAATCATTACCAACAGTGCTCAAGAAATGCACCTTTAAGGACAGCAATGTCAGTCTCCAACTACATTAAGCATGAAGCAGACTGCACAAGCTAAGCAGAGCCAGCCTTCAGCCATTCTATAAAGAATTAAAATGCTGAATATGTTTACCACACTGATGTTGATGCCAGAGAGGTCTTAGTTTTGCTTATTGTAACTGAAAAGAGTCACCTCTACAAACCAGAAATAGCATTATGAGAACAACTCCGAAAAGTAATTAATAGTTGCTTACTCGTAAATAAATCAATGCCCTTAACAATCCTTCCATTCGATTCATTCCTTATGCATTTTTGAAACTTAAGTCAAAAATGGAGCAGGGGTGTTTTCAGCATTCAGTGAACTGTAAGCAAGCAAGAGGCCAATTCCTTGAGGAAAGCAGATGGGGAGAAAATCAAATCAGGGAGCAAAAGAAAGAAATAGGTATAAAGCATCTTCAGCCACACAAACTTTCCTTTTCAATTCAGTTCCAAGTCCAGGCCTATCACACTAATACGTTGTGCCATGCATCACCAGTAGTGATGCAATTAGCGGTATTCTTTTTTTTCATGACAAAGTAACCAAGAGGGTTGAAGGTCAAGGTTCTTGAAGCAAATCAGCAGAAGGCACTCAGAATCTATTAGGGTTGCCACTGCATTACTATTCACAATACTGTGGAAAGCTATAAACCCTCACATTTATAATTATGTACTTGAATAATTAGAGATGCAGCTAATTCCAATAAAGAGCTGGATCTGCATGTTTAGCCAAAAGCATTATATTCCTTTTATCCTGAATTAAGTTCAGACTTTTTCACAGGGTTGTACATCCATGATGTGTGCAAAACAGATATTCAATATACACTCCACATGCAGTGCAATGATCCAGTTGGGACATTGAGAGAGTGAATAACGAAGCTTGATTACTTGCTATGGAATCCCATTCTCTAAAACAATCAAGGTTCACATTCCATATTAAGAGTAGCAATTAACTCAGCTTTGCTGAGGTTTGAGCTTGAGCACACAAACTTATTTTCAGGGCACAAGTTTACCTTCTAGTGCAGTTACCTTATACTTAAGCAGTGTTGTCACACAAGACCTGTAGAAAAAAATGGCTTCGTTTGTGGCCAATTCTACGACTAGGTGGAGCATCACATGCACATGCACGAGATCACATCAATTTCTATGGATGGTATCTTAGGTTGCTGCAGACTGGTCCACCTTATAAATATTCCCAGTTTTCACTTGCACTAATGAAGTGTTTAGATTGAAACAGAACACTGGAAATATTGTATTAAAATTCCTTTTTCCAAAGTTTGAGTAAGACATTAAATGTTAAACCCTGCCAAACCTTACAGTGCAAGTGTTACTGTAACACTCTAAATGCTCTCTTTGATGCACTTATTTAGGTGATCATTCAAAAATAAATACACAATTTCTTGCTTACACTTTAGAACAAATCATGAGATGGCTCTTAGGTGGCCATGTCTGGCATTGGAAGCACATTCCAAAGAAAAAATCTGCTTCTTCTACCTTACAAACTAAATAATGGAGATATGCACACATCCTCAATACTAGGAGTCAGCCTGAATAACAAAAGCCAGTTCTTAAAATTTAGTTAAAAATATTATCTTAAAGACTGCAATGCCATTACCTGAATGTCAATAATCATGAAAAATGAGACATATTTTAACTCTGTAAAGTTGCTACAAATAAGTTAAAAGGATGAAACATTTTTGCAATAACAATGTTAATGGAAGTTTAAAATTAAAAATAAACAATTTAATTAAATCACAATGAGCTTAAATCAGTTAAGGTGGGGTGTTGCGAAAGTCCTTAATGTGGCATGGGTTCCCATAGTCAAAGGTTGCAGCCTGTGCTCTAGAAACAAATACTACCAAAGAGTATATCAATAAGCTGCAGATGTTGGAGATCTGAAACATACAGAAACAGAAATTTTTGGAGAAACTCAGCAGGTAGGTAGTAATCCGTGGAGAGAAACGAGAGTTAACATTTTGTGTTGTGTTCCTTCTTCAGAACTACCACAAGACCACAAAAAACAGGAACAGAACTAGGCCATTTGGCCCCTTGAGCCTGCTTGGACATTCAGATTTTAGACTTTTTAAGAGTTTAGATTTTATTGCAACATGTACTTATGTACAACGGTACAGGTGTACAGTGAAAAGTGTATAATGTCACCATAGATGGTGCTATTTTAGGTACCTAAGTACAAAAAATGCTTGGGTAGAAAGTACTAGAGAAACAAGAGTTAAGCATTACTTCATAGAATAACAGAAAATTAAAGAAATTGGTAACAGTTTACATTATTTTCCTAGTTTAAATACAAAAGACTTTGAAGGGATAAGTTAAAAGTTCAACTGTCTTTGATGAGTCCTCCGCTTATTTTGCTCTGGTGTCTGTTCTCGATGCCGCCGCTGCAGATACTGTCACTGCTGCTAAAACTGCCCCCTCTCCAATCTATCTCGGTGTCTCAGGAACATGCGTGGGCAGGTTCCACTCGCACACCGAGCAAAGACACCGCCACAAGCTGCCAAGAGACCAGCCGACAAACTGCTGAGAACTGCCAAGAGACCAGGCCGGGACCCACCACAAGCCGCTGAAAGACCATGCTGAGACACCAGGTTGGGACCCACCACAAGATACTGAGAGACTAGGCCAGGACATGCCACAAGCCACCGGGAGACCAGGCTGAGACCCACTGAGAGAGATAAAGGGCTTAGAAAAAAAAGGAAACAGAAGGAGCAGAGGAGCTCCGGTTGGAGAGTCCTACTCCGCTGTCATCTTGACCGGAAGGATTCAGTAGGATCACAGCTGATCCAACATTCCTTATGTCCACTTTTCTGCACTTACTCCATAACCCTCAATTCCCCTATTGATCAAGAATCTATCTCAGCCTTAAATATATACAAGGACTCCACCCTTACAGCTCTCGGTGACCAGGAAGTCCAAAGATTCT